CTTACACCATCAATTTCAAGAAGGGTATGCAATTTCCTTTGAATAAGGCAAGGAAGCAGTTTGGAAATGCTCTTAGGCTGTGCAGTTTTACCAGAAGTTTAAATGGCCATGGCCACGTGGCCAGGGAACTTTTTTTCCATTCATAAATACCATATTTTTCAGAGTATAAGATGCACCTTTTTCCCTCAAAAAGAGGGTGAAAATCTGGGTGTGTCTTATAAACTGAATATAGGATTTTTGGCCTACTGAAACCCCACCCCCTTTGCAAAAATGGACGTGCAGAGGGTTTGGGAGGCTTGCAAAGTGCTCCTGAGGACTGGGGAGGGTCGTTTCCCCCCCCCAGCCCCGCAGGAGTACTCTAAGAGCCTCCCAAAGCTCTGCATGTCCCCCCCTTTTTTTGCAAAAAATGAGGCATGCAGAAGGTTTGGGAGGCCTGCAGAGTTCAAAAACTTTTTTTTACAATTTTCCTCTTCAAAATCATGGTGCATCTTATACACTGGTGCATCTTATCGTCTGAAAAATACGGTAGCTGTTTTGGTGACTGAATTTTCCCTAGAAAAGAATCAGGCCTTGCCTTAGTGATTTATGCTGTGTTACTGGCTTATGTGCTTTTTCCTTTTAAAGACTGGATTGCCAAAATATGTTCTTTGCAAGGCTGCCTTAAAAGATATTTTAGAGTGTTTAGGTAAAGAATGTAGAAGGTTGCTTATAGGAACTTGGCAAATGCAACATGTTACACTTAATAATGATAAGGATAATCAATACATCAGTAATTTTTACTTTCCTGGGAAGTAATTAAAAAAAATAATCTCTCCATTTCCCTAGAATCAGTCTCAACTCCGTTTAACTGCATGGTCACATCCAGACATGATTTGCTCTCACCTTATCTTGGGTTGCTTACCATAATATCCTGGTCTGGTCTAATAATTGGATATATGTTATCCTGGCAGTTTTCATTTAAGTTCTAAGCAGATGTGATCTTGTTTAGCTTTCTCAAGATTAGTTATGGTCAGCTAAATGCTACCACCCGGTGTGACCACAACAGCATTAAAAGAATGAGAGTAATTTTTGCTGAACTCATCCAAACCTAACATCCTGCCCAAGCAGAGTGCCAGCTCAAGTTCAGTATTCTGTCCATTGTCCCATATTGTTTCTTGTAAGTTTCATTTCTTTCGCACAAGCATGCCTATGTTTTATTTTGTTTTTTAAGAAAAACACTTTATACATTACATATAAAATGTGTGCTGTCTAATATTAAGATATTGGGTTTCAAGATTTCTGCTAGGCAACGAGTCGGTCATTGTTGATCTAATCTTCCTTTGCCTATATCCTAGCACTGAAACAAACAAAAAACTTCAAATGAAAAGCAGCGAATGCCTTCTTCCTGTTAGGTGAAACTGCATTTGAGGAACTCAGCCTTGAAAAGTAGAATAAAAGGGATCAACTTAATGACTTTTCTTACAAGTGATCTTGCTGGGGCATAAATATAAAAAATAAGTCTTTACATTTCTATTACAGAAACTACTGCTGCCTTTTGTTGTTCCATCACATTTTTTTTCTTTTTGTAAAGGCAGACCTCAGCATAACCAGAACCACAATGAATCTCACCTGATCCTGGACTGCAGAAGTCCAAACCACATGTTTGACATTTCCCAATTCCTATATCCACAAACACATGTAGGGCATTCACTGATTTTTCAGCATTGTTTTAAACTAAATTAGTATTGTCTGTAAACTTATGTAAATGGCTACAGGATAGGTAAAAAGGTCTCTTTGCAGCCTGAAATCTGAGTCTTTCAAGAAATTTATTTTATTTATTTATTTAGTTTGTCAAACATGTACGAGATAACAGGTATAGGTATAAACATGGACATGAACAAAGGAAATGAGTACGAATAAAAAGGGACAGTAGGACAGGGACGGTAGGAACGCTGGTGCGCTTATGCATGCTTCCTTACAGACCTCTTAGGAATGGGATAGCAAAGTTATAGGTTAGCAAAGTTACTAACATGGATTGAATGAAAGCTTAGACATTAACGCAAATATTTTCAGTTATTTTCTAGAATATGAAGGAAAGACACTTTCTTATGTTCTATGGAAAATGTATTCCTCATTGTTCTGGAAATTCTGAACAATATTTGTAACTGTTGGTCCTTCGGGTAATACTTGGGAGGCTTCTGTCCCATTTATTTCTTATCCCAGTTTGGTAAGTACGATGGTTGAGAGAGTTCTAGCCATGACGATAAATTTAGCTGGAGGCATGACAAGAACAGATCTAATGCAGAATATGATTAGAAAGAAAGGACAGAAATCTGATGTCATAAATGTTCAGCGTCTGTCCTTTCTTTGAATAAAAGCTTATCATTTGCAATCCATTAACTAATCTTAAATGTCACAGTATATGTAAAACTATAGAAGACTACTGCAGCTATGAAGTATATTATATTTACCCTCTGAGCTAGGCTAGGATATGTATAGTTATTTCAAAGTTCATTCTGAACAACTTTCTTTAAGTGCTTCTTTTAAAAGTTACTTTAAAACAATCAATAAGAGAATATTTTGCCAAGGTTTGGTCACCTGAATTGATTGGGGCATATTGGCCAAAGTCTGCAGCATCACTGGTGCCAAGTACCAAGTGTTTACTTGACATTACTATTTGTGACCTTTTAAGAAATTCCTTATATAGATAAGCAGCAAGCAGCTATACAAAGAAAAACAAGTACACTCAATCCTTTAAAAAAAATTAAATTCATACAAAAAAATATTCATATTCCAAACTTCAGGTCTTGGTCTTGTCTAAAAAAATGTAGCATAGTAATTTTCCCAAAGGTGCTTTTTCAGGAAGCAACTGGACTTTCTTATTTTTTCTTTGAAGACATTTCGCTTCTCATCCAAGAAGCTTCTTCAGCTGTTACAGGATAGTGGAGAATAGAAGGATTTATATTCCTTGTAGACAGCTGGTCATTTACATTATTTTAGAGCAGGGGTGTCATTGCGGGCCTCATTAGGGCTGTAGTTGACCTCGGGGACCTGGTGGTTGTGGCAGACTGGGTGGGCGTGGTCAGCTTGACACCACTCCCTGGGTGTGGCAGATGGGTGGGTGTGGCTAATGGGTGGGTGTGACTGATGGGTGGGTGTGGCTGATGGGTGGCCAATTTGACACCACTCCCCAAACTGCTGGCATGTTTCCTCTTCACACTGGGTAGACCGGACCGAAGTCATGTTGGCCCAATGTTTCCTCTTCGCATTAGATAGACTGGACTGAAGCGACAGGGGCCGGCCCCTTACATTTTCCAGGACAGCCCTGAGGGCCAGATCCAACCACATCACAGTCTGTTTTTAGAGAGTTATTGAAGCACTTGAAGGTTTATTTGTGTCCTCAAGTCACCTGAATCGTGCTCCTGGTTGCAGACTACAAGAACCCTGTAGGACACAGATAAACCTCCAAGTGTTTCAATAACCTTCTAAAAGGATGCAAATAACCAGCTGTCTGCAAGGAATATAAATCCTTCCATTCCCCATTACCAGGGGTGAAATGCTCTGAAGTCTGCTACCGGTTCGCTTCACTAGTGGTTCACTTTGTGCATGCATGTGTGCCTTGCGTGCATGCACCCAAAACATGCATTTCATGTGCATGCACACAGTGAGTGGGGTAAACAGCTGTGCTGCGCGATTTAGATTCACTAAAAAGCAGAATTTCCTGCTTTCTAACAAATATAAATTGCGTGGCACAGCTGATTGTCGCACAGCTGATTGTGGGAACTGCCGATTTGCCTGAACCGGTAGTAAAAACATGCTTTAAAAAGTTTTTTAAAAGTTCCAACAATCAGCTATGTGACAATCAGCTGTGCTGGGCAATTTCTAGCATTTTTTTTACTACTAGTTCGGACGAACCAGTAGCATTTTTTACTACCGTTTCGGGTGAATTTCACCCATGCCTATATCCTGTCAGAGCTGAAGAAGCTTCTTGGATGAGAAGCGAAACGTCTTCAAAGAAAAAAACAAGAAACTCCAATTGCCTCCTGAAATAGTAGCTTTGGGACAACCATGACCTGGGTGACTAAGGATCTCTACAGACTTTTAAGCATAGTAATTGTATACATCAAAATTATTGCTCGGTTGAAAATACATGACATCTGACGGTATCTCTGCCAATTTTCAAGATTCAATATTGCATAACTATAGATTTAAATAGTTAAAACATGCTATTGATGTAACATGCTATTTTCAGAAGCACTACTTCATGGATATTAGTCGTGAGAACTATGCCTATACAGAATTATCTCAGGTCTCCTGGACCATTCTTGCGCCTCTAAATACTTAGCAGTTCAGTAGTCTTTAGATGCCAGACATAACTCTGCAAAAGTTATGCACGTCTGAAAATATTAAGGGCAGCAAATATAGAAAAAAATATCCACCAAAATGTTCATATTATTGGCCTGAAACATATAGAAATACATTATTAATGTACTTTCTATTAATTATCTAGCAGTACCTGTAGATAAACCTTTTTTGCACCAGGAATATAATCTGCAATTCTGCCAAAGACCAGTCGACCAATTCCTGAAGTAATGCCAAGACAAAGCAGAAGTGTTACATCTGGAACATTTTCACCAATACGTTCTTTCACGTGCTTTAGCTATTCAGGAGGAGAAAAAACAGGATTTTAATATAACAAAAAAATCTAACACATAATACTTTAGTTTAAAATCAGCCATATTTTAAAACTTTATTACATTTGTACACATTGTTTAAACAATCATATCTCAGCTTTACGAATTTGTTCATAAATGTTCCTCTTTTGTTCTTCTATTTGTGATGCAATTAATGAAATTCAGAACCAGTTTCAAATTATGACTTAGCTTTGAACTGTAGTCAGTCAGAATATCCTATCCTGACTAATTAGAGACTTCTTAGTTCAATAACAGCCCATATAAATGGGCAAACAAATAAACAGCACTCATTGATAAAGTACTTGTTTATATCTCAACTTAGTAAACCAAGATAAGGTTGAAAAGGATGTAGTTAAGCTGTTCTCATTTATAAAAATCACAGAACCAAATCACAACATGTACAATACCTTCATATACAAATTTAACTACAATGTCACATTGAATTCAGTTTCCCTATTGTAATTACAAGTTGATTGGTTTCAATCATATAATTACCAGACTTGGACTTGGAAAAATATAAGAACTGGAAAACCCATTGATTTCTTGAAAGTGTTAAAAACAAGTCTTACAGCTACACTTTGTAACCTTTATAATCAAAAGTTCAAGAAATAAGAAAAACAGCTATGAACTGCTGCCATATTTGCAGAATATCTTCCATGAACCAACATCTAATCAATGATAATTCTAACAGCATCATTTGTAATTTGGAAAAATACAAGTAATTCAGTGAAGATTCCACTCTGTGTTATTCTGCATAATTATAGCACTAATCAACTTTTTACTGGGCAAATGTGTGAAAGGAAAGATGAATGCTGGGTTCTTATTCAGCACCTGTGTCAGAGAGACTGGCTGAGCCAGGGGGAAGAGTCAAGCAGGGAATTAATCTGGAATCCTTATGTAGGCACAAGAGGGCAAGGTCTGATACCTACCTACACACACACACACACACACACACACACACACACACACACACACGAATGCCACTGAACCTTTCTTGCAATAAAGTAACTAATTGAACTCATCTCGAACTCATCTCATATGGATCTCATTGTTCACACCTGATAACCTGCTAATTCATGAATCAAATTGTTTTTGTTCAATAAAGGCAGAAATATGTTCAGAAAAATAAACAAGGAAAACACTATAGGTATAAACACTTTATAAAAGAAAAGTTTCTAAACATTAAAGTTAGTATCAAAGGAATCAAGAAGATGTGAAATTATTCTTAAGTACTTGTATGCATTTAAATTTAAGGGATCACAATTAAAAATAGAAAATAATATGTATCACAAATTATTGGACATTTCAGGTCAGAAGAAACCCTTCAAAGCTATATAAACAAAATAACAGAATTCTCTTTCATCTCACAAACCCATTCATCTAAAAGGTTTAAGAGACTAATCAATAAATCCCACTGATAAAAATTATTTTTCAAATGTTCATTTTTTTCCATGCCATTTTGATTTTTAAAAAACCTCTGTAAAAGCTCAAAGTTTTAGATTATATCATTTTTGTAAAAAAAAAAAAACCAGTAGTGGTTGAAAAATAGAACTGTTAGTATGTTAACATGTAAACAACTCTTTCTATAGATAGGATTTATGGGGTCTTTTTAATCATAAGAAATTAATTTAATCCCTTGGTAGTACAGGAGAAATTAAACTTTATAATGCTCTTAATATTTACAGGAAGAAATGATCTATAATACCAAAGAACAGTATTTTCTTTCCCTTTTTTTCTTTCATAAATGAACCATCTGGTGCAAGCCATAGCATAGCTAAGATCTTTTCCATTGCTTAGTTGAGAAGCTCTTTACCCAACCTTAAATCTGCAAAAAAATGAATTGGCATGAAATTGGCTACCTAGGTGCTAAAACTTCTCTTGCTTCAGTTTCTTCTTTCCCAAGTCTGAGCTGCCTCTAAATGATGAGTGACAAAAATCTTGCCAGATTCTGACTGCTTTTCAGATATAACTGAGGAGAGTACTTTACTTCGTAACTCAGGATGACTTACGTCTGTCTCACTTATGGCCTGTGCCAGGATGAAAGTAATCTCATTAGAATGCAGCAGAAAAAAAGATATTGCTGGGATATCGTAAGGTGCACATGGAACACCAATTCAATATTCTAACACAGTGTTTCTCAACCTTGGCAACTTGAAGATGTCCGGACTTCAACTCCCAGAATTCCCCAGCCAGCAAATTCCTGCCTGGGGATTTTTGGGGGTGAAGACCCGGCATGTTTTAAATTGCACAGGTTGGGAAAACTGTGGTTGAA